CGCCGGCCAGTGCTGATTGTTAACCATTAAAACTCAGGAGCCCGAGGCTACTTCCTTTATCTCTGAAATCTTTAAGTTTGGTTATTATCAAATCTGTTCCTGTTCATATTGCTTGAGGTTCTAGTTATTTGTGTGGCTTGAGATGTGCCTGTGTTTGCAGCCTGTGTGAGTCATTGGACAGATCGTGTACTTGGAACGAGGTTTTTAAAGGCAGGGCAAAAGTGATAGCACATTAGACACGTCTAGGACTTACTGTAGTTTAAACTGCTTCAAAAAGAATGCACACTTCAAACAATAAAACAGGAACTCTCAAATAAATTTAGGTATAAGCCAGGCATGGGGGCGAGCGCCTGTATTCCCAGCTACTTGGGAGCTTAGGTGGGATGATTGCTTGAGCCCAGGGGTTCAAGGCCAGTCTGGGCCACATAGTGATACTCTGTCTCTTTAAAAACAAATAAAAAAATAGAGAATAACTTTAGGTAAATTGGTTACAACAGTTTGCATCCATTTCTAGAAACTTCTTAAACCCAGTGCTTCCTTTGTTATCTTGTTGGTAAGACATAGTTACTTTTCTTTTTCTTTTTGTTTTCCTTCCCTCCCTCCTAAAAATAGACTAAGTAGTAACACTTTTCTGATATAGTATGTGGGGTAATGACCTCCAGGTATTGTGACTTTTATCCTAAGGAAAACGATGTTTCCTGGAATTGAAAATATAAACTAAAGAAAGTGAGTCATTTTGGTTGGTACACTATTAGTTTCATGAATCTAGTCTTTAGCTTACTTAGCGAAGCCGTCCGAGCAGCTGTCCTAAGTCACAGCATCCGGGCTGACTGGGGAGTTGCAGGAGAGCCTGGCTTCTGTCCTGGGTGCTCGTGCTGGAAGAGTTATGGCTTTCCTAACGGACGCCCACCTCTTCCCAAGGGCGTCTGCAGAGAAAGTCAAGTTGCCGGCTCTTGTGGGGACTATCGTAGGTCTATCACTTGGGTTGTTTCTGCACTTCCAAGTGTGCCCCTGACCTCCGCTTCATTCTACAGATGCAGAGACAGCTGTGACTCAGAAGTTCTTTAACTAAAAGAACTTTCCATTTTAGAAATGGAAAAAATAGGGGAGGAATTTCAGAAAGTGTTTCTCCAGCTTGTTTATTTTGTCACTGCATGCCTGTATCTCTAGGCAGCATTCTTTTGTAGATATTTGGAAACAAGTTTGCCAAAAGTGACCTATAAGTCAATTGGAACAAGAAAGAATTTTGTGCCTTCAGACAGGACAGGTAGGGATTTAAAATGTTTCGACTGATATGTATTTTAGTAAGTTTTTGTATCTAATTTGTTTAACATTTATTTTCACAGTTTATTTGGTGCAGGAAATTAACAGAGCTGATATTCCCCTTCCTGAGGGAGAGACCAGTCCTCCTGCACCAGCTCTTAAACAGGTTCTAGAAATGCAGGTAACTTGCTTCTGAAGAAGCTGTTTTAAGCCACTGATCTGAGGGGCTGCTTGTTTATATTGTCTAATGCTTTTCTGTCTTCTCAAAACCATGGGATAAACATTAAAGAACTGTATTATGGTTAACCCTCAGTAGTGGATTAGCTGTGATAAATTTCAATGATAATTCAGTTTTCTTTTGCAGTGTAAGGCATGCGCTTCCTCTCCAGCTGGTGGTGAACAGAGGCTAGTGGGAATTAGCCACCAAATCTGGTCCATGGGCTTTTAATGTTTCCGAAAGGTCGTTCTGGGATTACCCAGGCCTTAGCCTGCCTCTTCTGCAAGTCACGGAGGCTTCAGTCCTGTGCCTTCACAGTCCTCCTAAATTCGCCCTACATGCCCCTCTCTGGTTTGTAGAAGGTGCTATGAAGTCGACGGGTTGTTTGAGGTGGGCGGCAAACAGAATTCTTTCGCCCTGCATTCACGGGCTTGTGTGTTGGGGATACAGCCTTCCCTCTATGAGGACACTGGCTTATGGTGTTTATTAGCACCCCCCACCCCCGTGAATTATCCATTGAGCCTTCAGTCTGATCATTTTATAGTTCTTCACTCTGGGAAATAAGCGAGAGCTCTATATAACTCTTCTAAGACAATTGCTGCTGTGTAGCTGAAGCCATTGCCGTTGCCTGCTCTCTTTATCTGCGGGGAGGTCACGTAACGTCTGCTGTATGAGTAGACTCCAGGGAGAGTCGTACAGTCGGATAGTAGACAGCAGTCATCTGGTTTGGCCTGTTTGGTTGGTCGGCTATGATATAATCATAAACATAATGATTACTCTTTATAGTTTTTATATGGCAAAGCAGAAGTAATGAATGTAGCAAGTTATGTGATTTGTTTGAATACAGGTTCTCACTGACTCGATTTGTTTTACAGATTTCTGCTTCTATTGTTTTAATACTTAAGTTTTGTTAAGGATGGTTAGTATGTAACTAATTATTGAAGATTTGTTTTCAAGAATTTTGATGCTCAGTTGTATAAGAGCAAGTGCATAAACTCAAGCTAGAGACTAGGAAAAATATGTTGGAAAAGATTGACCATTTTCTGTGTTGCAAATAAAAGGAAATGTAGACTTGAAGAGGAAGATGTGTTGATGTTTGATAGTGGATCAGCAGGCAGAGGAAACCCAGAGAAATGTCAGGACCTGCCATTAGAGAAAAGGGCCAGTCTTCAGGTCACTGGAGGCATCATAGCCTCCGGAATGTTTTATATCACAAGTAGTGCGAATGTCACAGAAATTACCTGAATTAATATGAAATGATAAATGATGGACCCTTAAAATCTTTGCGTGTTTTCATGCCCCTGCCCAACTAACAAATTCTGGCTTTTTAAAACCCTCCCGCTGGCTTCGGTGTACTCTAAAAAGGTTGTTAGATCACACTCGGAACGAAGTCCTACTCTTAACTAACCGCTATTTGCTTTAGGAGCAGTTACAGAAGCTTGAGGTTGAACTGAGGGAAGTCACCAAGAACAAGGAGAAACTGAGGAAGAACTTGCTGGAGCTGATCGAGTATACGCACATGCTGAGAGTGACAAAAACCTTCGTGAAGCGCAACGTCGAGGTATCGCACGCCTCGCGAGGCGACGCGTCTGTTTCGTGACAGTCCCGTTCCCTTCAGCTTGTGGGTTTTGTTGTTAACTGATATTGATGTGTTACTTTTTAAAGAGATAAATGTAGATCTTGGCTTTATTTTTCTGTTGGATTATATGACATTAAAAAAAGCTTTAAAAGCCTTTTCTTGTATTGGTTGGTTTCAGCAACAGCAATACTAAATATTTGTAAAATGCTTTAGTTTGCGGTTGAAAAAAATCTTTTTATGATCATGAGAAAAATTAAACAGTGGAAGTCGAACTCTAAAATTTGTTTTTTCCAAATTGCTGAATAAAGGAAGTAAAAATAATCTGTATAAGAATAAAGACTAGTCCGCGTAGTAGCACTTCACTGAGCTGAGTATAGACAGAAGTGCATCCCTCCTGAAATTAGTCTCACTCGATACAGTAGTCGACCTCGGATAACGTTATTCAATCTTGGATGAAGGTCATGACTTAAATTATAACTATTCTTTTATGCAAATGTCTTTAAGTGGCTTACGAATAATGGATGGGGAAATTATCTTTTTATTTATCAGAGCTGAGTTATATGTCGAAGTTGCCTTAGGGCCTTTGCAACCAGAACCAAGTAGTTAGATGTGATGTTCTGTATAAACTTGTTTGGAAATATGACATGAGAAATACAGTGTCATTTTTAATGAGACACACTGGTTTTATGTTTCTCTTTCTAGTTTGAACCCACTTACGAAGAATTCCCTCCCTTAGAGAATGATTCTTTGTTGGACTACAGCTGTATGCAGAGGCTGGGAGCAAAACTGGGGTAGGTGACAAGGACTGGGTGTCACACTTCATACTGCCCTTCCTGTAGGGTGGATGAATAGGAACTATTTTAAAGTTCGTGATTGAATGAAAGGAGGTGAATATTTGAGAAAACACTGTACTCCTGTACTAGTTGAGCTGAATTACTCAGCTGTGTTGACTTTTAAGCTAAATACAATGGACATTTCTTTTTTTGGTATAATGATTTGGAAAGAAACAACATTATGTCATTCAGTGTTACTCCTATAAGCCTAAAATAGTTGGTCGTTGAGGCATCAAGGCCTGTCTGGTGGAAACATAGGGGTTAAACTGAGTTGGTTACTTTTTTTATTAATTATACTCTAAGGGTTTCTTTCTGCTGTTTCTTCTGTTTACTTGAACTAATGGTAACTTCTTCATGTGATTTGTGATTTTTTTTGATCGTTATGAACTTACATTCCTTAGTTCCTTATCTGAAGGAACTCAGTGGTGTCTGGTCTGGGGAGGCATTCCTCCAGAGAGAGTCTGTGTGACGTTCGTCAGGCGCCTAGCGGTGCTCTCCCAACCTGGGATCATTCGCATGGTTTCTCAGCGTGGGATTCTTTTGTTGGTTCGTTGGTTTTTTGACTATGCAAGTAATGTGAATTTAAGCCCTAAACTTGAGTGAATTTTAACCTGTGGTTATAAATTCTTAGGGAAGACTTTTCTCTCCCTGTAGAACCAAAACCGAAATCAGTAACTTACTTGTAGCCTCCTTTGCTGGGTGGATTTTCTTCTGGTCCACCCATTCACTGAAGGTGTAGCCCTTCAGGCGTGAAGAAGTCCCAGTTTGAGGGGGATTCAGTTCTGTCTCGGCGCCTTCTCTGGGCCCTGTGGGTGTCTTCTGTCTCTCATGGTGGTGTTAAACTCTAGGCCTCAAAATACTGGGTTAGTATGATAATCAGGACAGCTAGGAGGTCCTGTTTTCTTTTTGGAGTCTAAAAATTTCTCTGTCTTATAAGCTCAGCTATACATTTAAAAGGATGTTTCAAAATTATTTTATCCAGCATTTGAGATGTTTTGCAGTTGGAGGGCTTTCCATTTTCACCATTTTGCCCGAAATGGAAGTCTTCATCATTCTTTTAATGCACTTTGATAATATTCGTTGCTTTCAGTTGACTCAGGTTGGCTTTATTATTTCATAGATTTGTGTCTGGCTTAATTCACCAAGGAAAAGTTGAAGCATTTGAAAAAATGCTGTGGAGAGTCTGCAAAGGGTACACCATTGTGACCTACGCAGAACTGGATGAATCCCTCGAAGACCCTGAAACAGTGAGTAAATGTCACAGTCGCCTTTTAACAGTGACAGACGCACAGCAAAGTTGGGGATACAGTGGAAAGAAAGTTTTTCTCCTGAACCATTAAGTTGTTAACTCGATGCCTCGTATCTTTGAACACGTTTGTGCGTAGTTCCTAAAATCAAGGACATTCTCCCACAGTGTCACAATATGACCCTCAAAATCAGGAGAGGAACGACTGCGTTTTGAGCCTCAGACCCCAGTCAGGTTTCCCCAGTTGTGCCGGTGCCGTCACGGCGAAGGGTCTAGTTAGCATCACACGTTAGATTTAGTTGTCGTGTCACTTCGGTCTTCTTCATTCTGGGACCGTTTCTCAGACCTGCCCTGACTTTCATTTAAAATTGACAGTTTAAGATATTACAGACCAGTGTTTTGGGTTTATCAGTTTGGGTTTATCAGATTTTTCTCACGATTAGAGTCAGGTCACGTGTCTTTGGCAAGAGTGTCACTGACGTGAGGCTGCGTTCTTCTCATTACATCCTTCAGGTGCCACATGGTGTCGTTTGTCCCGTTACTGGTAATGGTCACTTTGATCACTTGAATTAGGTTTCTCCACTGTGAAATTACTCTTTTTTTTTCTTTGTAATTAATAAGCGTTTTGGGAGAAGTGCTTTGCAACTGTAAGTATCTCCTCCTTCTTCAGATTTTCAGCGTGTTCATTTATTTCCTGTTCTATTCAGTGGGTTGTATTCTCTTACCGTATTACTTATTTTTCTATTCAAATTCTCCTAGATTTGGCCAGTTGGAGCCCATTCACACTGGCTTTTGTATCCGTTTTAACATGTTCCCTTCATTTTTTGAGCAGTCCTTGCTTTGTTGTACAACAGGATGTCCAGATTCATCTTGTAATTCCCCTTACACAGCCCTGGAATCCGCCATTTCTCCAAGAAGCTGGTTCTTTTTGGTGGAGATCTTGGTATTTCAAAGACAAGATGTGGTCTCCGAGTGTGCCCGTTGTTACTGAGGTGCCGCCGTTCCCTGCTGTCTCAGAGATAGCGCTGGGATGCACTTACGCACCTGTATGTACAGCTGTGGGCCACTTCTGCAGAAGAGGGGGTTACTCTTCCCCTCCTGCCCTCTGTGTGCATCCCCACACACGTGCCCGGCAGCTCGAGGGCTGAGCTGTTCAGGAAGAAAGTGGAGGGGCAGGGGAAGGGCAGAGCCGTAGTCAGCTTTCTGAATGAGGATGAACTGATCTACTAAAGGTAGAAAAGGAGCCTGGACTTCTTGATGTTCAGAAAAGAGTTCGTATTTTTCTTCTAGGTTAGCCTCAGGAATTTTGGCTGCAAGATTTATATATATCCCATAATGGTTTTGACACATCAAGAGGAATTTGGCTGTGAAATGATTTTCATAAGGCTCAGCCTGAGTAGCCATCACGCTGGGAGACCTCATCAGTCAAGCTGTTCGTTAACCACACACCTGCAATATTTTCTACTTTATTTTGTTGGGACAGGGCCTTGCTCTGTTGCAGGGGCCAGAGTGCAGTGGCTTCTCTGACACGCACATTTTCTCAGGCACATCACTGCTTTCTTGCGCTCAGGAACACCAGACAACACTTCAGCATGACGCTTGGGGGCCATTTTAAACAGTGAAATCACCAAGAAAAAGCACAAAAATGTGAAAAACACAGCACTAAATGGACAGTGTAAAACAGGACACGTGTCTGCAGTCTAAGAGCTGAGACAGACAGGCAGGATTTCACCTTGTTGGACCTTCCCTGGAAACGTGGGCCTTGGGTCCCTGAGAGTGTTTGCTGCTCTGCACGTGACTACAAAGTGCTGTGTGTATTAATTTTGGGGTTATTGTAGCAAGTTGGTGAATTTGCAATTATGGAGTCTGCAGATGAGGATTGACTGTACTTATTGAATGAATGAACGATCTATTTGACAGTGTTTGAGCTGCCAAAGTTCTAGAAGTTATACACACACAAGTAATACTTATCCCTATTCATTCTTTGTAGGGAGAAGTCATAAAATGGTATGTGTTTTTAATATCCTTTTGGGGAGAACAGATTGGCCACAAGGTTAAGAAGATATGTGATTGGTAAGAAAAAGAAACATTTTGTTTCATTTATTTTTTTGTGTTTAATAACCTCTGATTTTCCTTTAATATCCCTCTGTAGTCAAAGAGAGGTAGGGCGAGTGCAAAGGCTGCTAGTTTTGTTACAATTTCCTTGCAGTGATACCTTCTTAAACACTTACTTTGTCATCTCTCTTGCCAGTGCATTACTTAAAATAATTTAAAAGTAGAGACTGTGTTAATGATATTCTCAGATTTGATTTTTTTCTTTGGGGATCAAGGCTTCAGATCAATTGAAAAAGGAATCACATTTTAACATGCTGGAGCTCTCTGGGCTCGTCCGTCATCACTGAGTACACGGGCGTCATCTCTCCTGGGTGCCTCGGGGCAGGGCATGGTTTGTGTCGAGGAGTGGGTGCTCATGGGCCTGGCTGGATGCCACTCCCTCACTGGGCCAGCTGGGAGAGGGGACCAAGCCTCGGTTTCCTCATGTGTAAAAGGGGAGAGCACTTCCCTTCTCCCAGGGCTGTTAGGACTAAATGAGATGATGCAGGAAAAAGGTGTCAGTACAGCAGAAGCCACCAGTAAATGCTGGGCAGTGTTACAACAAGAGTCTGTGACTTACTCCTGTCAACAGATGGAAACGTGAGCAAAAGCCAGACAAGCCAAAAAAAGCCCAAAAAGTAAAAAAACTCAAAAAGAATACCTCTTTGTTTTCTTATACCAACGATATCTTAGATTCTCTTCTTTCTTGCAGGGTGGTGGTAGGGTTTGGGTATTTTCTGTTTACCAGAGTTTGGTTCTCAATCATTGGTGGTATAGAAAGTAATTTTAGGTGTCACCTGGATAAACCTTTATTTTATTTTATTTTGTTTTGTTTTGTTTTGTTATGTTTTATGTTATGTTATGTTATGTTAGCCAAGGTCTTGTTTTGTTGCCCAGGCTAGATTGCCGTGGTGTAATCATAGCTCACGACAACCTTAGCCTCCTGGGCTCAAGTGATCCTCCTGTCTCAGCCTCCTGAGTAGATGGGACTACAGGTGCACACCACTGTGCCTGGCTAATTTTTAAACTTTTTGTAGAGGTGGGGTCTCCCTGTGTTGCCCAGGCTGGTCTCAAACTCTTGGGCTCAAGCGATCCTCCTGCCTGGGCTTCCCAAAGTGCTGGGATTAGTGGTGTGAGCCACCACACCTGGCCAAACCTTTTGTTTTGATAGGTGTTTGTTTTACTGTAGATTAGAAAACCATACCCAGCTCGATAAGCCCACGATTTCCAATGTATCTTTGCTTAGGCTCAGGCTAGAGTAGGTATTTAATTTTCCAAAGTCACATAGGAAGGTGACGTGGGAATGACCGCACTTTGGGAGACGTGGCTTGACATTTCCCAGTGTGGTCTGGGCGGTGGGCGGCCCCTGAGTAAACATTGGTGTGTGTGTATGTGTGTGTGCGCGGTTTGTCTTTGTTTTTGTGTTTTAGACCTGTTTAACGATTCCCAGCCCAAGGATATTGTTGGATTTCGGAAAGCTGGACTTGGGAATGAGCTGCCGGGGGTCCCTGAGGGCAGGGTGGAATGTGGATCTGAGAGCGAGTTTGCTCAGTTCGTTTCATTCAGCAGATGTCTGCTGAGTGTCCGTGTGCGAGGCCTGACCGCGGGCAGATGCCCACGTGTGCACCTTTTTCTCCCAGAGGGCTGCCGGGAGATGGCAGATGCACGACGTGTCCTCCTCTGTCTTCCAGTTACCACTGCCACGTGTACCCCTATCCACACACTGCCGAGGAGCGGGAGGAGATCCAAGAGGGGCTGAACACTCGGATCCAAGATCTGTATACTGTGAGTAAGGCCGACACCAGCGCCTCCTTACCGAGGGATGCAAGGCATTTGCAAATCCATTCTTTTTTAATATGGGTAATTTTAGATGTGGACAAATCCAGATGTTCCAGTGAGATTGCAGTGTCGCTTCCCTCCCTCCTCCGCAGGGAAGTTTTATTTTAACAGCCTGGGTAGTAACCAAGAAGGCCCCGTGTGCAATGGCGGGCATTATTTTACCTACACTTCTGCTGTCAGTGAGGGTTCTGCTATCGGTGGTGGCGGGGGCGAGGAGCAGACTGACTCAATGAAGCAGAAGGGGATTTCTTGGCAGGATGGGACAGATGGGCATTGGTGGCTCACAGGGTTGACAGGGGCTGGGCCAAGCTCGCGAATGGGTAGGGACCCAGGGGGCTCTCTGGACCCAGGTAGGCCATCAAGGTGCCACAGTGACGATGACATCTAACCACTTCCTGTGTCCATGGGGTCATGTTCTCTGGAGACGACTTCCCAAAAGAGGGCATATGCTTGGCTGAGCTTAGATTTCCCGCCCACCTCCAGGTGGTGCTGGGGGCAGGGAGGGAGAGACAGGTGTCTGGAATGATCCTCCGTCAACGGGGAGAAATCCGCCTAAAGGAAGTCAGGTGCCAGGTGGACAAAGACCAAACCATGCGCCATGCTGAAAGCCCGGCGTGTTCTCACCCAGGTGCTCCACAAGACCGAGGACTATTTACGGCAAGTGCTGTGTAAAGCCGCCGAGTCGGTCTACACCCGCGTCATCCAGGTGAAGAAGATGAAGGCCATCTACCACATGCTGAACATGTGCAGCATCGACGTGACTAACAAGTGCCTCATCGCCGAGGTCTGGTGTCCCGAGGCGGATCTGCATGAGCTGCGCCGGGCGCTGGAGGAGGGCTCGGTAAGGCCGCCTTCCTCCACCCAGCCAGGCTCAGAGAGACCGCGGATCCCATAAACTCAGGGAGTTCAAGGAAATGAGAATCTCATTGCGTTAGAGGAAGGCGTCGTACTGACGGTTCTTCTGAACTGCAGTTACGGCGAGCTAGTCGTTGGAGGGGGTGCGGGTGTGCATACATTTTTAAATTACACTTTTGAATAAGTAGCATGTTCACATGGTTTAAAAGGAAAAAGAAGCGTCAGAAAGTGTGAAAGACACAGTGAGGTGCTTCACCCCCACGGTGTCATGTGTCCATCTCTTCCACTCCAAGATAACCATCGTTTTGGTGCTGTTATATCTTTGAGTTTCTTAATCGTAGACAAGCAGGCACGAGCAGATACCCTTTTCTTCACAAAGGGCGTGCTATTCATACTATTATTTTCACTTAATAAAACTTCCCGGTTTTTTTAAATAACTATTTAACATTCTTTTGTGTGCATGCACCACGGTCTATTTAGCGAGTTCCCTGGTCATTTAGGTAGTTTCCAATTTTAAATGCCACCGCAGGGCGGAACACCTGACCTAGGATGTTTCATGCACGTACAAGTCTGTGGGCAAATTCCCAGAAGTGGAACGGTGGATTAATTTTGATAGATATTGCCAGTAGTTTTTTTCTTGGGTAGTAATTTCTTCTTCTTCTCTTTTTGTGTGAAAGAGAGAGAGTGGTGCTACAATCCCCTCATTTATGAATGTAATCCCAACGAAAGAAACACCCCCGACTCTGATCCGCACCAACAAGTTCACCGAGGGCTTTCAGAACATCGTGGATGCCTATGGCGTCGGGAGCTACAGGGAAGTGAATCCAGGTTGGAAGCTGATTTTGGAAATCCTTGGATTTCACGTGGCATTGCTACGTTTGCTTGCTCTGAGAACGTAGAAGATGTTTGGAAAAGCAGGCTTACTGCTACTTTTTTGTCACCTTGTTTAGTGCGACGTTTTAAATTTAACCTCACAGTTCTATCCTAGCAATTCTAGAGACAGTCAAGATCCTCACGTATCGCTGTGTTTGAGTTAAGTCGGATTTTCCGTACTCGCTGCAAATCTGAACTCTCCTTTCCTTTCCTTCCCGGCAGCTCTTTTCACCATCATCACGTTCCCCTTTCTGTTCGCTGTGATGTTTGGAGACTTCGGACATGGCTTTGTGATGTTCTTATTTGCCCTCCTGTTGGTGTTGAATGAAAACCACCCCAGACTAAACCAGTCTCAGGAGGTAAAAATATAAACACTCCAGCTCGTTATTTCCAGTGGGGTAGTGACCAAAAGAGAGACGCTCTTAGCTGTCAACTGTCGGCCGTGGCTGTGCTGCGTGAGAGCTGCGGGGCCGTCACCCGCAGCTGCCAGGATGTCTGTCGCATGGGGTTTTCCGAGAAGCCCTGAGAGGGGTGGATAAGAGTACCCCAGACTGATGCCGTCCATGAGCACGTCTCCCAGTGATCACGTCTTGTCATCGCGCTTTGCTCCCCGCAGATCATGAGAATGTTTTTTAACGGGCGCTACATCCTGCTGCTCATGGGGCTGTTCTCCATGTACACCGGCCTCATCTACAACGACTGCTTCTCCAAGTCCGTGAACCTGTTCGGCTCCGGTTGGAACGTGTCTGCCATGTTCAGCTCCAGCCACACCGCAGCAGAGCACAAGAAGATGGTGCTTTGGAAGTAAGTATCCCATCACCCGGTCGTATTTTGGGCACAAAAAGCATTTTTCCGAGATTCCTTCCTCCTCCTCGCAGTAAGCCTCCCTGCTCTGCTTTTGTTACAGCGACAGCACCGTGAGGCACAGCAAGGTTTTGCAGTTGGATCCGAGTGTCCCTGGGGTGTTCCGAGGCCCTTATCCTCTTGGCATTGATCCTGTGAGTGCGCTGTCCTGCCCTTGTCTCCTTGCTCTGGGGTGCCCCCTAGTTTTAGGTGCCAGAAGGTTCTCTGGACATTTGAGCAGAGTTCACATGTGCTTGTGCGAGGGGGAGGGTGCTTCCCTGCACCGTGGAGCCCGGGACTTACAGAGCAAGCGGGAGCCTTGAGCTCTCCATCCGGGAAGCCAGGGTCTGTGCCCGAGCCCGAGAAGTCTGCAGAGAGACGGGGCTGCGTTCTGTCCTCCTTCCGGACCTGTTTTCCTCTACTGAAAAATGACACTTCAGGAGCCCTGTTTCTTAGATTTCTTCTTTGTATGTGTGAATTATTTTTTTACCCGTTGATCTAAAAGAAACAATTTTTTCTGTCCTAATAGGCCCTGTTTCCCTTTTCCTAATCCATTGGGCGGGGACCATAGGAATTCATCTTCAGGCAGTAAGAGAAGCAGTCGGTGATCAGGGACCCGGAGTGGGGACCTAGGGGTCAGGGCTGCCCTGGGGAGCTTGGCATGGCCTGGGGTTCCACTGTGGCGCGCCGCTGCCTTCAGCTCAAGTCGGCCTCTGCTTTTATTTTTTCCGTGTGCCTTGGCTCGTGTCCCTAAATGCCGTGGTGTTCCATATGGCATCCTTTGAGCTTTATATTGAGAAAATTGTTTTTTAACTGTCTGTGGCTCTGGTTTTAAAAAAATCAATTGTTCTCAGATTGAGAGCATCAAGAGAAAAGTCTGAGTGTTTTCGTTTTAAAATTTAGAGCTGCCTCTCAATTTAAGACAGGAACTTTCTTTTTTTTTTTTTTAAATTTATAATGATCAGAAATGTATTTGGCTTACGGTTCTGGAGGCTGGGAAGTACAAAGTCAAGGGGCTGTATCTGGTGAGGGCCTTTGTGCTGTCATAACGTGGCAGAGGGCATCACTTGGCGAGAGAGCATGTGAGAGAGGACAAGGCGGGGTCGAACTCACTTTTATAACAAACCCACTCCCTAAATAATGACGTTAATCCATTTATGACCTAAACACCTCCCATTAAACCCTGCCTTCCCAAACTGCTGTGCTGGGAATTGTTTCCAACATGTGAAGTTTGGGGATCACATTTAAATCATAGCATGGGCAGGACTCATACTTGGAAAAATGTTAAATGATTTGGGCTTGACTTTTGCCCGTTTTGCAGTCAGGGCCCTGCACTACCTCAGGTAGCCACCCCTGCCCTACCTGATCCCGTGGAACGCAATCCCCGACGTCATCCACATGCTTTCCTTTCTTAAGACAGGAACTTCATTGAGTATCACCTGTTCAAGGAAGTTAAAATTTTTTGTTTTGTTTTGTTTGGTCTTTAGATTTGGAACTTGGCCACAAATCGCCTCACTTTTCTAAACTCTTTCAAAATGAAAATGTCTGTGATCTTAGGAATTATTCACATGACTTTTGGAGTCATTCTGGGAATATTTAACCACTTGTAAGTACAGATTTTTTAAAAGCAATATTTATGAGCCAAGTCTGGCATTTCTTAAACTTTGCTTCTTGCTGGTAGCCTGTATTTATTGGTTAAAGGGCAGCCAATATGGTAGTGTACTACCTTATAGGATTCTGTTTTGATTATTTAGATTTTTTGCAGTTTAAGTGATTCATACAGCAAATATTTATTGAGCACATAGCATGTGACAAGTGCTGTTCTAGGCATTAGGGATTCAGCAGTGAGGGAGACAGAAGGAAGTTTTTGTCCTCATGGAGCTTACATTCAGGTGGGAGAGACATGCAGCACATGCATTTATGTATATTTCCAGAAGTGATTTTTGTCATACTCCTTTTTTATTTTACAAATAAGAAAACTTTGTTTTTACTTCGTCAGAGCTAGTCTATTAACAGTAAGAGATTGTATCATTTTTCTGTAACTAGACCTGTTCATTCTCATCTCTAAACATAATTTGTATAATTTAATGTTATAGCTTTAAGTCTTAACGTAATTGGAAACTTGGAAAACTTTTACAACAATTTAAGATAGGGCATTTTGGAGCCAGAGTCACTAATAATTTGTAGCTTTGCTTTGAGGAAGTAAACGTTTCTGAATAAAAGAATCAAGGAAGGAAGCGTGAGTGGGGTTTGACCACATTAGTGGTTTTGCTGTCCTCGCATCTCTTTGTCTTTGTGGATGCATCTGGAACACGAGTCCAGGTCATCACAAGACAGATGCTGTTATACTGAAATTGGCTGTATTTTTTTTAGTAACGAAGGATTTAGATTAATTTACTTTTTAATTTAGGCTGATCTCGTTCATGGGTTGACTGGTTCCTTCTTTTTTCTAGGCATTTCCGGAAGAAGTTCAATATTTACTTGGTTTCCATCCCAGAACTTCTCTTCATGCTCTGCATCTTTGGATACCTCATATTTATGATTCTCTATAAGTGGCTGGTGTTTTCAGCAGAAACCTCCAGAGTTGCTCCTAGCATTCTGATTGAATTTATTAATATGTTTTTATTCCCAGCCAGTGAAACAAACGGGCTTTACACAGGGCAGGTAAGTTATCTTTTCCCTCGTGAATTTAACAGAAGTTTCCTGAAAGCCTCTCGTCCTGGTCAGCAGAGCGAGTGCAGGTGATTTCCGCAGGCCTCCCAGGAGCCCCGGGAGCGTCCTGTTTCTGTGCATTGTCACCAGGGGTTGCAGGTGTGGCTCTGGGCAGGCAGGACGACCACACTTGCTGCCTCTTAGTAGCTGTGATAGCTGTGGGGAAGGAGACGCATTGCCGGGGGGTTCCCGCCGGCTGCCGGGTCCCCAGTTTAAGGCGGGCACCTGGGCCATGGCACACGGGCCCTCTCAAAAAATGGCTTTTCTACAGTTGTGCATTTGTGTGATCTGAGGGCTGACTGCTCCGTGTGGAGTCCCAGCTCTGCTACTTCCTCGAGATGGAACTTCCAGCAGCTTATGTAACTTCTCTGTGCCTCAGTTTCCTCATCTGTAAAATGGGATTAAAAACAGGAGCCAGTTCACAGTATAGAGCTAATATGTCCGAAGTGCTTTAAAGGGTGCTTGGCACGTACCAGCTACTCGACACACGCCAGTGTTTTCCACAGCTCTTGCTTTGTCTTGTACCGAGGGCCTGTTTGCTGTTAAGTGTCGCGGCATCTCCTTCCCAGGGATGCTGCTGAAAGCACCGCGCACGACATCGTCTCATGTCTGTGAGGAGACGTGGGGAAACTCTCCTAGTTGTCAGTCTCGGAACCTGCGGTTCTCCTGAGCTGCCTTCTGTTTTTCATCTTGCTGACCCTGTGAATGCAGGGTTTGTTTGGTTTCGTTTTTCACATTCTATTGGCTGCTGCAAAGTTTTAAGGCACTTTTGAAGCTCAACTTACAGAACTTTGGGCTTTGTTAACGAGCTGTGTATTTATGTTCTTTTTAAACTTGTCAAGTTTCTAATTTTATTTCTCTTTCTCCTTTTCGTGATTTTTTTTTTTTTTTTTTGAGACAGAGTCTCACTCTTTTGCCTGGGCTAGAGTGAGTGCTGTGGCGTCAGCCTAGCTCACAGCAGCCTCGGACTCCTGGGCTCAAGCGATCCTCCTGTCTCAGCCTCCCGAGTAGCTGGGACTACAGGCATGCGCCACCATGCCCAGCTAATTTTTTTCTATATGTTTTTAGTTGTCCGATTAATTTCTTTCTATTTTTAGTAGAGACGGGGTCTCGCTCTTGCTCAGGCTGGTTTCGAACTCCTGAGCTCAAACAATCCGCCCGCCTCGGCCTCCCAGAGAGCTAGGATTACAGGCGTGAGCCACTGCGCCCGGCCCTTTGTCATTATTTTATTGAGACTTTCTAGAATGACATAGCCACAGTAGATAAATGCAAGGGAGTTCAGTGGGGCATGGCTGCTGTGGTCAGAAAGATCAGTGAAGGGGAACTACCCTGTGTAGCACCTACTGCATACCTAAAAATGTGCTGTCCTTGATGAGTCTTTCTTAATTCTTGCAGCAGCGCCACAGGGTAGGGGGTGCCATTCTGCCAGTGACGACTGGTGGCTCAGGGCAGGCCTGTCACTCAGCAGCCAGTGGGGCTGGGGTATTAACTCTGGTCTGCCTGACTCCACGGTCCAGGACTTCTGACGTGGCTCTGCTTGTGGCCCCCACTGTCTGGGCGTTTCAAGGGGTGGACTGCGTTGATGGCACATAGGCGACGCAGCCTCGTCCCCGAGTAGCGCACGTGACTCGGGAACCTGTCTTGGCAGGAGGGCAGCCACAGAGAGTGGTGACGGGGCGGCAGCATGTCCGGTGCAGGTCCCATGAAGTCACCGCCACTGCCGTGCTCTGTGAGCGGGAAACTGTTTTGCTCTTGAGTTAGTTTTTAGTAACTATAAATCTCCTTTCTTAAGAAAGTTTTTGGTTTTGTTCTGAATGCTATTTCAATATATTTCACGTGTTGCAGTAAATCCACTTACTGCTACTCACATTGCTCAAAGAGTCTTATAATAACAAATCAACAAAAAGCAGAACCGAGGATATAAAAAGGTATTCTGCTTGTGTTTGTATGTTCCCGTTTACAGTCTCTAGGAAATGATTGGCTGGAGTTTGAGTCTATGTAGAACTTTCCTAAAATTTCCTTACTGGTCTAAAACGAAATAATACTTTACCACTGTATCATTAGTGTCATTTACCAGTTCTAGAATTCAGCTGTGTGTTCAGGAAGAAGAAAACAGTCCACTGGCAGATATAATTCAGCCTACCCATATTTAATGTTCGCGGCATGGGACGTTCTATTTGACGTCCACCAATTTATTGAAGCGCTGCTGACGCCATTGGCACACCTGCGAATTTCAGTCGGTCCTCTCCCCTCTGCACTAACAGGAGCACGTCCAGAGAGTGTTGCTGGCCGTCACAGCATTGTCTGTGCCTGTCCTCTTCTTGGGAAAGCCACTCTTTCTGTTATGGCTGCACAACGGGCGCAGTTGCTTTGGGGTAAGCCGGGTAAGTGTGAGTTTGGATTCGTGTTTTAAGTTGTGAGTGAAGTCTGCGCTTAGTTGTTACAAGGGTTGGTGTAACAGCCACCTTTCAGAGGGCCCCAGTCTCTGGGTGTAAAAGCCCAAACTTGCGTCATTCAGAACGTTGATGTCGCGTGGCCCACAGTACCTCGGTGACAGCCCACTGTGTCCCGGCCGTGTGGAGACAGGCCCCGGTTCTGAACAACAAGCCTGTTAGGAATTTAACTCAGTCCTTCACTCCAGCTTGGCATGATTAAAAAGTTTTCTGTGTTCTTACCTCTTAATTTTTTCTTTAAAGTGTTTTTTATTTAAATAATATAGTTTACAGAAAATGTGCGACATATAGAAAATAGAGTCCTTATGTTCCAGCACCCAGTTATAACCAGTTGCCATTTGTTGAATTTCTTTCTACACTATTCTCTTGTGTGTCTAGTATCACATTTTCTTTCTTTTTTTTAAAAAGTTGTGGTAAAATATGCACAATGTAGAGTTTACCAGTTTTAACCATTTTAAAGTATGGCATTAAGGACATTCAGAATGTCGTGTAACCATCACCACCCTCCAGCTCCAGAACTTTTTCATCTTGCAGAACCGAAACTGTGTCCCAGTTAAACACTAACTCCCTGTTCCTTTCTCCTCCCAGCCCCCGGTAACGGCCGTTCTACTTTCTGTCTCTGTTTGACTAGCTGCCTCGTATAAGTAGAATCGTGCGGTGTTTGTCCTTTTGTGTCTGGCGTCTTTCACTCAGCATAATGTCCTTAAAGTTCGTCCATGTTGCGGGATGTGTCACAATTTCCTTCTCTTTTGAGGCTGAATAATATTCCATTGTGTGGATGTCCCATGTTTACTCGCCCATGCACTGATGGACACTTGCGTTGTTTGCACCTTCGGGCTGTTGTGAATAACGCTGCTCTGAACGTAGGTGTATAAGTATCTCTTCAGGTCTCTGCTTTCAGTTCTTTTGGGAATATACCCACAAGTGGGGTTGCTGGATCATATGGTAATTCTATGTTTCATTTTTGAGGAATGGCCACGCTGTTTTCCACAGTGGCTGCGCCATTTTACATTCCTACCAACAGTGCGCGAGGTTTCCAATTTCTCCACATCCTCGCCAACACTTACTATTTTATGTTTTTTTTTTTTTTTGTAAATAGCTGTCCTAATGGGTATGAAGTGCTTATTTTCTTTTAAGAACTTTTTTTATTCCCAAAGAGCTGAATCATTAAGAGAAACAAAGGGGCTGTATAACTTTGGTTTTGTCACAAACGTGAAGCTTTAAAGGCACTGACTGTGTACTCTTTTGGTTGTCAGAGTGGCTACACACTTGTAAGGAAAGATAGTGAGGAAGAAGTTTCTTTGCTGGGAAACCAAGATATAGAAGAGGGACATAACCAAATGGAAGATGGATGTAGAGAAATGACATGTGAAGAGGTAATCTTTTCAGTTGCTATTGATACACTTAGATAAGTAATCAAGCTTCTGTAGAGATAATGGTCAC